ATTAAAATAATAATAATAATATATTATTATTCAATAATTAATTCTTTTTGTAATTGTTAAGCAAGCATTTAATTAGCATTATTTATCTAAATCATTTAATAATTGTTATTAATGGCCGCTCGCTGCTCGCGCGTACCCCGACTCTCGTCGCAGGGCCACCAAACTTTTCGTTGCCGTGCGACACTGCGAAGCTCGCCGCTGGCACGCCTAGAGCGTACGTCCCACGGTCTAGCCGCGCGAAACGCGCGCTCATTCGCCAATCTTTTTTAATTAATATTTCAATAATTATTGCGAAAATTGCAAAATGGTACAGGACTTTTCTGTTCAGTTTACTGTGCTCTACCTGCTCACGAGCGTTGTCAAGGGTGCTTTGGGACACCCTGTATATATAGTAATACAATATACATATAAATTAGTCTTTCAAAATTGATTACATTATAATAGTTAAAATATTTTAGGATATACTTCATTGGCTCAAAACGTAGAACAGGACTTGAATATAAAACGTAAATATTTTTTTTCAAGATTTTTGTATTGAATGTATAAAGTATTCTATTACATTTTATATACATACATAATATTGTTGCTTATATTGCAGAGAACATAAAACAGATGTTGCGTATGCAGGCTGCAACAAACATATTGTTAAAGGATCTAAAACAACGCATAATTAAAGTAGATGTTATAAAAAATGGCGCTTTACATCTCTCGGAAAGTAACAATCTCATTGCACAATTTTTACCTTTGAATACAATAAAAGATGTGAAGGAATTCGAATCAGTATTGAAGACCACAGATGAGGCAGTGACGCAGTTTGTAAGTTATAGATTTATTCATTATTTCTATGTTTTTTCTTCGTTGTTTAAAAAAATTTACAAAATTTTAAAAATGAAAGCTTACTCTACTTTTAAGTATTTGTAATTATATAATATTGCGTATATTAGTACTATTATTTTCAATGCATACAAAATGTACTTTTCTTTTTATAGAGAGAATTGGTATCTAAAACTGGTGGGAACAATCCAAAACATACTATTCAACGAACGATGAAAAAGATATTCACAAATGAATGCGCTATGAAGTGCTCTTGGAAAGGGATTAAAAATAACTTCCGAGTCTCCGATTTACATTTAATTAAAATTATGAGAAGTATATAATAAACATCGTAAAATCTCTACTAACAAGAATTCCTTAGATGCTGTTATTAATCAAATATTTTTTTTATTTTTTAGATGTAACTTTGCAACATATGAATTTAACAGAATCAGAATTCGATAATATTGTAGCGGAATGGTTACGTTTTGCAAGACAAAGAAAACAACGTGAAGATAAAGAAAAGGAAAATGAACGTCACAATGAAAATGAAGATCAGCGAATAAACGAATAATATTAAAGGTTAATATTATATCAACTAAAGACTGATCCATAGATCGAACATTTTTCAAATATTTTTGTTTAAGAATGAAAAGAATCTTTATTTTTTATTATTTAGTATTTTATGTATGCGATACGTAATGATATAAATATATATGTAATACGTAAAGTTTTATATGATATAATATCAAATTTTTTATTTACGATAAGATTTTTATAAAAAAACTTATATAATATTACTATATGTGATATGTAAAGCTTTATATAAAGATATTTAGAATACTTTTTGGTTGATAATGAAACAAAGCTTTATTTCTTATTATTATTATATTGTATTTATTATATGTAAAATGTATGTATAGATGTATAGATAAAATATATGTGATACATTTGTAGTATGTGCAATATATTTTGTTGTTGCTTATTTACATTTTCTTTTATTACATGTTTTTTTTTTAATGTGATGACTTACAGGAATAAAAGATCGTTGAATTAATTCCAAGTAAAACTAAACAAAATTTTATTATACGTAATATAATTTTGTTTAGTTTTGCTTAGAATTAATTCAATGATCTATTATTTGTGAAAGTCGCATTTGTTTAAGAATATTAATGTAATAATTATATAATTATTTTATAACTAATAAAATAACTTGTATATAACAGTTCAACAATATACGTTTCAGTTTTATAACTTTTCGCTAAGTTGCATTACGATTATATAACATTTTCATAACTTCTCTTATGATTATATAACATTTCGATTACATTTTATATTTATGTTATATAATTATAATTTTCTGTGAGTGGGAAATTACAACTAACGTGTATATTACTTGTAACGTACACGTTATATTAAGTGTTACATTCCGTTATATCATGGCAATTTAATTGTTATATATCTGTGTTTGCTGGGTAGTTTTTAAACGGGAAGCGATTATATTTTACGAATGACAGGGCTGAAATTTTGCGTGCTCAGACACGTCGAAATGACAAGTAAAAAAAGTGCTTCTATGAATGGAGCGCCTTTGATGATTATCGTATAAATTTACAATAGCATTGTCATTATATGTTTTCCCGCTTCTCTACGCATTGCATTAGTATATTCTTTTTACGAATAATGGATGCAAGAAAGCATCTAAAAAATGATTCAAGTAAAAATTTGCGACATGTTTCAACTTCAGCTGTCAAAGTAGTCGATTAATGTTACCATGAAGATGTCTACTATTTCGCCGTGCTTGAGCGCGCGAAATCTCAACCTTGCCATTCGTAAAATATAATCGCTTCCTGTTTAAAAACTATTATAGCCTCGACATTTTTGTATTAAAATTTTCGTCTTAAAATGTTTTAAGGAATCTATTATTAAGAGGAAGTACGGTAGTTTTAGGACACCCTGTATAATAGTCATATATAAAATAATTAAATTTATAATACAAATCAGCAGTGTTTAAATTGTCAAGGTATAGCTCTTTCACTATTAAAAGATTCACAAAAATTATTCCGAATTCTTGCAGCTATTCGAGAAGTGTTATTTGTACCACATCTTCTTATTTTCTGAAAAGCAGAATTATTGTCTACATTTCTTCTCCAAGAACCTTCTATTAATCCATCAGGACCATCTTGATCAATCATGTTTTCAGTGACATATTCATTGACTCTAACATCTTTTGTATTCGAATATAATTGTGTAAACACACAATGGTTTATACTATTTTCATTGCTGTTTCAACTAAACAATTTATTGGTCTTCTTAAGGTGATGCCGGAGTCCTGTTTTACCGGCCATAATAATTACACTTTGCAGACCGAATCCTTTATTGACTTGATAAAATGTCAAAAATATTTTCTGATGGTTCTCCTTGCTTGACTAAGGCGATAATTGTAAATTATTTTCTTCTGGTACAAGTTTTGTTTTCCTAAAAAAGGTCTCATTAGATATTCAGTAAGAGAAAAAGCTTCGTCTCCAATTAGCATGTAAGGCATCGAGTCTCCTTCAAAGTAAAATGGTTCTGGATCGGGTACATTCATTTCATTATTTCTGAATTTTTTGCCAAGAAGGGAATCTCTGAATATTTCACCATCACTCCGACGTCCATAGGCTCCAATATCCACAAAAGTAAAAATATATTTAGCATTGCAAATCGCAAACAAAACAAAACTATGATTATTTTTATAATTAAAATATGAACCTGCATTTTCAGGACACTGAAAAGAATATAGTAAGCTGTAGTTCCGAAAAGTAAATTTGTTTAAAATTTTTTTTTAGTAATCTTTAATTTTTTCGGTAACGTTAACAATTTTTCAGTAACTTACTTAAATAAAAATATGTTTACCATCAATAGCTCCTATGCAATGATTGAAATTCCATAAATTTTCAAAATCTTTAGAAATACTTAACCATATTTCTTTTGTAACAAGGGTATGGGAGAATTTCTTTAGAAAGAACAGACCACAATGCATTGCAAGTTTCTGAAATAATATTGCTAACTGTGGTTAGTCCAAGGAGATATTGATAGCTCATAGAAGTCATTGAATTGCCAGAAGCAAGAAACCTATAAGAAATATTTTCATAATATTTTAAATATATATAACTAAATTTTAATTTTTTGTGTCTTTTAACTTACCTTAATGTCATGCATAATCTTTCACTGATAGATATTGGTTTTGGTCCTCGCACATTGGACGCGATATCCAATGAGAGCTCGGTTTTGTCGGAAAAGCAGAGCTCTCATTGGATATCGTTCATCGCATCCAGTGTGCGAGAGCCATTTCTTTTGAAATTAGAGGTGCTACTTTACATAATAATTCTTCAAGTTGAATTGCATTCATACGAAAGTAGTTTTTAAATGTACTTATTCGTTGTGAAATTGTAGGTAAAATTGCATTATAAAATCCACATTTATGTTTTATTTGAAATAATGGGTTAACCCAGAAACATTTTCTCTTGCAATGTCGTTTCTTTTTTTCTTTATAATAATAAAGAACTGCTGCTAATGCTAATCTTTTTCTCTTTTCCTTTATATTGTTTTCATTTATAATTTTTGCACACTCAATCAATCAATTATAATATTTTTTTGTTTGTGACATTACTTATATTTATTTTATAGCAATTGTTGTGTATGCGTTTACGGATTTTTTCTTTCTAAATCGCGTCGCTGGAACACCTCAATATCTTATCGCTAGCGACAATCCAGTCACGTGACTTTTTTATCGCTCAAAACGAGCGATGAGCGACGCATGAAAAGGTACCTTAAAAGTGCCAATTCATGAGACGCTAAAAATGAGCGTCAAGAGAGGTCACGTGGTTTCGCTTTGACGCTAGCGTCAAAGAAATGCAATTGAATTTGTTCAGTATCCAGCGTCGTCGCTGATCATCCCGGTACAATCAAAAATAGAAGTACGTAAAATATTAATTATTTTCAAATAGTATCTTCAAGTAGTAATATTTTACAGATATACCCAGATAGCCAAGTTTGCCAGATCATTGCAAATTATGCATTACATATTATATCGGTAGAACTCCGGCAGCAGCCTGATTTGTCGTTTCAATTAATGTCGGCAAAAATGCAGCAGAAAACAAGCAATCTTTGCATTATTATATGCTACAAAATTTAAGCAGAAGTTCTTGGCATAAAAACAGTAGATTTAAAGCATTGCATGTTGGCACAATATGTCAACAGAAGCTAAATAAACTGAACATAACATGACACATGCTATATCGGCAGAATATCGTTAGAAATCGAGTTCATCTGCAAACATGGCGTAACGGCAGAAATGCTGCAAAAATTAAGCATGCGCTGCCATTTCAAAAAATAACAGCAAAAACACAGCATGGTCTGTTGTCATAAAATAATGACAGAATCACATCAATATTAAGATATGTTATATCAAGTTATAGTTCTTTCGTTTACCGCTATATGACGTATCTATTTCGTATTCAAGTTTCTGTTACAGGCAAATATAGACTGCAAAACGCGGTTAACACGATTAAAAATGTGTAATGGTTCCTGCACATAGGACACGGCGACGCGGCAAGCGTTGCTATACTATATTTCAAATATCTATTAATAATCTTGGCATTGTAAATAATAACAAGCAAATTTAAACTACAAAGCATGATTAAAATAAAATATATTCAGGAAAAAAAGACATAAATTTGTGAGCAAGACTAGTAAGTCTCAATAATTAGAATTCGGATGTTAAGGGTCGGCAGGAGTGACGGCCAAACTCCGAATTGATATTGGAGACCTCGCGCGGTGAAAATGTGAAACTCAGGTTTCAGGGTTACAAACGCTGAGGAATGAATTCTCAGTCTCGATGTATAAGTGTATGTCTGTATACGTACACACACGATTGCATTGCTCGCGTGGACGCACCGTGGAGAGGAAAGATAGAAAACGATCAACGATCACGCTATCCTTGTTCCTCTAGCGTATCGCTTTACGGCCGAGATATGGCCTGAAAATGCTTTTTGGCCTCTCGTAGCAGAAAGCAGTAATGCAACAAGACTAAAGAGCGCCCACTTTTCATAAATTTTATGTTTACTTATGCGCATATGTACAGATATATACCAATAGTATATAGAAATGTTACATATGTTTCAAAATTGCACAATGATAAATAATATTAGTAGAATAATAGCTAATAGAGTGAACTAATATACAACGTGTAAGTCAAACGATCAGTGTACTACTAGAAAAATGTCCCCATTAGCTGCTCCTTGCATATCGCTCTAGTGATATCCGTTTTTTTCGTATGTAGCCTCGAAGAAGTCATATTTCTTCCTCTAACTTTTTTTGCTATATTCTTTGCAAAGCTTAGATTGGCGCTACAGAGCCGGATTTTGCATTTTGGCTCTCAAAAAATTTATAATTAATAAAATACAGCTCATGGCCAACTGCACCTAATCCGCCATGAGCTGTACCAGAGCTGTACCTTATTTATCAATTTATGAAATATTATTTTAACTCTTTTTTCCAAAAAATCGCTCTGTAGAGCCAATCTTACGATCCTACTGATTACGAATATTGCTGTTAGAATTTAATTTTCTTTGTATTTTGGCCGTAATACGAAAAAAACGTATCCGTAGTTCACGGCTTCCCGCAAGAGGTCTCTACTGTCTCTCCTGCCGACCCTTAACTAGTAAACCTGAATGGCACATATGGGCCATGTTATTTGTGTTCATTGAAAGAGAACAAAATTCACACCAGAATCCATATACTAGACATAAAAATTAAGCGGTATAATAATTTTTGCATTAACAATTTTTCCACTTACAATTTCATATTATAAAGCAAAACTACCTACGAGAAAAATGTTCTCATCCAGTAGTATATTATAATACATTGGAATAAAATATCCAGTAATAGTCTGTAGCACTCTAATACAGGTATGCTGTATTATAATGCTGCAAAATATAGCTATTTTTATGATATTCAACTTTCTGATGCAATATCAACAGACGATTCATCAACATCCGAATCGTGAAAAACATTCGTTAGCATTAATATAAAATATAAAAGCACTTTATATTAGTTTCTATACCAACGATTACGGGAATGGAACCATTGGATATTCCACTGAAAGTCCATTTAATAAAATCTTCATTTTAGACAAGTGTGTATTTATAAAATAGTATCACATGCAATAATAGTCAATATTTTCGATTATTTTTAATATAATCTCTTAAATAGGTGACTTAATTAATAAATTAGATTAAATTAGAATATAATAAATTGTAGCTGATGTGTTTTTTTCCAGCAAACTTATTATTTGTGATATCTTTTTAGAAAGAAAAGCCTGACGATTCTGGAAAAACTAGAAAAATATTTCTATGATAAAACATCATATTGGTGCCATCTCTTTTACTTTGTAGGCAGCACAGTATGTGTAACAATATTTGAGTACAAATTTCTCTCAAGCATTTGTGATATTTCAAAACATTGTATAGCAAGAACTTCCAATACTTAATTAAATTACGCGAATCGCTATATGGATATTAAAAAACAATGTTTTATATTGCAAAATATCTAATTGGGAGAATCAGTTTTTAGAATTGAAGCATTCTCTTCTCATTCAGTCTTTTAATGCTTTAAAAACTGCACATGCCATTGTATTTATATCATAATTAACATTTTGCATGATATACCATTACTGGTACGTTTTTCGATGGCAAGATGTTAACAGTATAGTTAGCACTCTAAAAATAGTACTTTCTTTATAATTAAAGTTTCGACATTGGTATGTATATTTCACTATTTTATATTATATATGTTTATCTCTCTCTCTCTCTCTCTCTCTCTCTCTCTCTCTCTAATATGCTTATAATGAGAATATGAATTATATAAATTAGTATATATATCATTGTGTTCATCATTACACATGAATCCTTTGATATTGTCATACATTTTGGAATTATGACAAAATATCTCTCAATAAGTATAATATAATTTGAAAAAATTATTCTTATTATAAATTATCATCAGTATCATTCTCTGTGAAGTTCTAGGAAATGGCGTAATGTAATAGGCAATTCTTTACTGCAGATTCCGTATTTACAAACAGCCTGTGCGGCTTGACATTGAAGACTAGTATAATTAAGAAGATTTACGTTATTTTGCGGATTAGAGGATATCAGTCGTAATGGTGTATCTCCCGCTCTATTTGGTGTATCTAAGTGTGCGCCATAATCCAACAACAATTTTATCAGCTGTTTTAAACAAATTCTTAATGTGAGCTGTAATGTTTGATTTGTAAAAGTCTAGAAAATATATAAAAAAAAGTATACTTACAGCATTGTGAAAGTTGTATGCGTTGCTTGCTATATGTAAAGGGGTTGACCGTAATGTATTTCTAGCATCGACGTATGCTCCACAATCCAAGAGCAATTTAACAACATCCAAACGTGGAAAAATTGTCTGGATATATTCATCAAAATATTGCATATGTATTTCATTTACTGTCTAATGATGCAGCCGACTTCTCGGCTAATAAAACATATTCGCGAAGTAGTAATTTTTACTATTACGATTGAGAATGAAGAACTCTTCAGGTATTAAATTTTAAAGATGCAAATAGAGTTTTACTTTATTCTTTATTTAATTTTAAGAATTATCAAATTTTAAGTTTATATTGAATATAATAGATAATTTTAAGTTTATATTGAATATAATAGAGAAGTTGCTTTTATAGTTATTTATGAAAATAATTAATATTGAAAATAAAAAGATTTCCAAAAAGATGATCTACTGTAAAGCTTTAACTCTTTTGATACACTTGAGCAAAAGTTCATACTTACATGTATATCATCGGCAGAAGTAAAGTAACTAGAGTTGATTGTATTTGAACTAGAAACACAAAGATGAAGAAGTGTGTCCTCTATATAAACAGATCTGGGATTTTGTTTCACTAAACCATGGACTAACTGGTGCATTAAAGCTTTCTGTTCATCAGATTTTGCTTTTTCTACTAAAAGATAAATAAGATGCGTCACGCATTTCAGAATACGTTCATAATTGTCTCTCTGTCTCTTATGCACAGGACGTTTCTATAATATAACGTTAGTATATATAACATATGCATCCAACAATCTATCTCAACAGTATATATTATTACTTATAAATTATATAATATGCACAAATCATACATACCTCCAATAACTCTCTAGCTTCCGTCAGCTGGCTAGAGAGTAATTTAAATATTGCTACTACGTCGCAAAATCTCGGTTCTTGTCTTTCTCGATTACGATCTATTACTTCCAATGTTCTTTCATTCAGATCCACCATAAGCCTTACAAGAGCTTGTGCAGTGAAACAGGTATCTGCATATAAAATCTAAAAGACCGATAGAATTTAATTTATTTTTCACATATAGATGGAAAAATTATATACGCATATAACTGCGCATCAGACATTTTTATGTTTTACATACCGAATCCTTTTCAATTCTAATTTCTAACACTCGATGCCACAAATCTATACATTGTTGATATCTAAAAAGAAGAAATATATTACATGCATGTTATTATATATAATTAAATATGTTTCAGAAAGACTGGACAAATAACTAAATACCTTAAAGAGTCTGCATATGATGCACCTCTAAACATCAGTCGAAAGAGAGTATCTTTGTGATGTGGGCCTAATATCCTTTCACATATCAATAAACTTTGTATTCTTATTGCATCTAAATCGAGCGAAATGGCGTTTAACTCTTCCACGGTTGAAAATTCCACGGTATTTCTGTAAGTCTCGCGGTTTGGTAACACAGGTCTCTTTGGCAAAGGCACTCCGTCATTCGAGTTGACTATTCTGAGGACCATCGCGGCCCTCCAATATTGTAACGCCATATGCGTATCGCTATGATCGTCGAAAAATGTGGATCCCATTAGCTCGTTTGCATCTGCCAATCTTTCCGCGGAATATGATACGTTTTCCACTAAATCATGAATGCCATACATCGTAATTTTAACCAATATAAACCTGTATCTTTTATCATAGGAAAGAAACGCTAATTGTTACAATATTACATTGAATCATTCTTACCTAAGTATTCGAATATCTGGATGGCTCCTTTAAGACAGGCAGTCTGGAGGGCATCATCGTTATATCGAGATCTGATATGAGGGTCCGCATTATGTTCTAAGAGCAGTTTGGTAGTTCGAAATCTATGTTCCTGAATGGCGTAATGCAAGGCAGTTTTGTTCTGAATATCCGTGGCATTCACATCCGCGCCATGTTCCAAAAGAAAAGTGCACAACTCCACACTTTGTATAGAATTTATCAAACATGTTCCACCATTATAGTTTGCTTTTAGTATATCAGCGCCATTTTCCACTAAATACAAGACAATGTCTGAAAAATAAATATATGATTTACATTCAAAATCATTCTTGTTAATTCAGATAACTCGCACCATCAATAAACAAAACAATCACTAATTAAATCTAAAGATTAAAATAAATATTTTAGAGAAAGAAAGAGAAAAAATTGAAAATTGTGCAAATTAGAAACTTGCACATTGCTTCCTCATCATTTTATTTCACTCACAAAGCTTAAGCTCTTTAAAGCAAATGGGTTTTTCAATTTTGGCTTCCTCATAGAGGAAGGTCTCTCAAAATTTGCGAAAGTTACAGTATGTACAGACATTTCTCAAAAAAATTCAAAATTTTATAAAAAATGAACCCTTTCATTAATACTCACCAAATTCAATACCATACCTTTCTTTAATAATACCTTATTCATGTAAAAAAATTTAACCTGATATCTCAAAAATTGCGGAAGTTAGAGGTTGTACAATGTACATTCCGTACAAACATACATACATACATACATCATACATACAACATATAGACATTTTTTAAAAATATGATTTTGCGACGTTTTGGAACATTCTAAACACATTCGTATAGAAAACTGGAAAAAAAATTTTGTCACGAAAATAAAATTTCCTCTATGAGGAAGCAAAAGAAAAGGAAAGTCTTATTGTTAGTAGTTAAGGATTAATGTAATATTGTACAACGATACCGAAACGAATAAGGCACTTTTCATCTAGATAAATCATTTGGAATACATTATGTGTGTGATAGCAAAAACAAGGATCAACAAATGATTAGATTCGCTGAAAATTAGACATGTGATCTATACGCATTTTTATAACGTTGAATGAAATAAATATTAGACATTAAGTCTCACATTTTGCTTAAATTTCTTACATTATGTTTTGTGATCTTTCTCTATCTCTCATATATTATTTCATTCCGAATGCAAAAAAGGAGCACAGGCAAAACGAGATCTATTAACAACTAAGCATTATAAAAAATAAATGATAGCGTATTAAATCTTGGCATGCTTAGCTTTGACCTAGACCTGCATATGATTATATTTTTATTTCAATTTGACAAAAATACATTCATTCAATTCTGAAATATTCACTTATTTTTTACAATTTGATTGCAAGAATTATATATATTACTGCACTGTTTTTATTTAATATTACCTTTTTTCATTATATGTCTTTCTGCTGTTACTATAACATATTATTTTATCTTTTCTAATATGATATGTAATCAGATTATTTACAAGAATACTTCATTCAAATAATAATACAGAAAAGTACATAATGCTTCTTGAAAGAAATATGACATATTACCTCTTTGCTTACTTGCCCTATCAATTATATTTTGCATAATTGATATATAATTCGTTACCCATATGTGTCATGAAGCACGCAGATCTAACGGGAGTAGATCCAGAATCAGAGACTGCATTCACATCAGCTCCATGGGATATAAGGCATTTTATAACTTCCAAATTCCCAGATACCGCGGCGCACCATAATGGCGTGACACAGTGAACTGATCCATCATCAGGTACTTCATACTTTCCTCTTTGTTCAATGTCGGCGTCGCATTTTCTTAAAAGATATTCGACAATCTCCACATGTCCCCTCTTGCAGGCAATAAACAATGGAGCACAGCCATCTTTCATATGAGATACAATTATTTTCCGCTCTTCTCTCTTGTATTTCTCTAAACGATTTCTCACAGCGTAGGTCAATTGCGCTCCTGGTGCCAGATATTTACACTCGTCCATAAGCTCGAAAAATAATCGATCCATGGAAAAATTCCAACGATCACTATTACTAAACCACATTGCCCACTTTCCGAAACGACGTTGTGATGTTTCTTCCGATTCATAAAGCTGAAAAAAATTTCATTTCTAGAAATGTATTTATAAAAATTCTCTAAAATACACTGTGAGAACAATCAGAACAATTGTGAGCAGACTGATAGAAGAATGTTTATTATAAAATAACAAAATACTAGAATCACAATGAATCACTCCATGGATATCACAACTTCCGTCAAGCATTTGTTTCAATTCATGCTACTTGTTTAAATACTAGATATATTTTTGCGTATGATATTATTAAGAAAAAGATTGTTGACATATAAAATTCGAGAGCAAGTAACAAAATATCCTACGTATGTATGTAAATGTATTTGACAGACACACACGTACAATCTCTTGTTCTTTCAAGATAGCATCTTGATGCAAAATATACAGAAAAAATAAAGTCAACAGCCGCGCATCGATTTTTCTCGAGACATATATATCCGTAAAATTAAAGAAAATATTCAAAAATAGAAAAGCTATGCTACACACTTGTAAATGCCCAGACGTCTAACACATTTCTATATACATTGGTGATAATCTATGCATTTCTATTAGCGTGTGTGTATGTATATACATACCACTGATCTATATATCTGGATTGCTGATAGGCCTCCTGGCGATGTACCCAATTGAAGGTCCGCCATTTTAGACGCCCGAGGTGCGCGCATGCGTGGTGGTGCCATAGTATATACAGTAGCGCAACCATAGACATAGTATATCTAGACCGAGATGCCGACAGGGAGTTGCGCTACTGTATGTACTGTGGTGATGCTTTAAGTGATACCAATAAGTGCATGGCCGCGTTCGAGAACATCACCCGTGTGCACACGAGCGTCGTTCTATCTTTGTTTAACTTTCAGTAAATAACAAAGATAGAACGACGCTCGGTGCACACGGGTAATGTTCTCGAACGCAGCCCAGGTCATGGATACCTTCCCAAAGTTAGCCCACCTTCCCAAAGTTAGCCCCCCCACTTTGACTTTTGGGAATTTTCTTTTTATCAATCGATTGGTGGTTGATTGGTAATGTTTGGTATCGCATTAAAAAAGTTTGGTAGTTTCCCGTTTTCTGACAAAATCGAAAACAAATTTTTGACCTTTTTTTAGCCCCTCCACTTTGACTTTTGGTAATTTTTTTTTACCAATTGTTCAATGGTTGATTGCTAATGTTTGGTATCGCATCCAAAACGTTTGGTAGTTTCCCGTTTATTTAAAAAAAAACTAAGGAGAGTTATCTCGATAGTGTAGAGAGAAAAAAGGTGGTCACGAAAAATGTTCCGTATATGCCCAGGTTTGCCAAATGGAATGACTTGGACCAATTCGTCGCCATCTTGAATATTCGTACATATATAGTGTTATGTTTAGTTGTATTAGTGATCAGTAAGTGTGTTGGATGACACACTACTTACTAATTACTACCACAACTAAACGTAACACTATACATATACGAAGATTCAAGATGGCGACAAAATGGTCCAAGTTATTCCATTCGGCAAACCTGGCCACATACAGAACATTTTTCGTGACCACTTTCAATCTAGGTAGATAACTCTCCTTATTCTTCCTTCATGTAACATACTGACTGCTTGACAAAGAGAGATGATTACGCCGTCTTTGTTTCTCTTTCGTTGCGTATGTGTGCAGCGTCCGTGAAGGCACAAACACCGATATGTTGAGCACATGGATACAACTGCAGATCGGTTGACAAAGAGAGATTATCATTCTGTCTTTGTCTCTCTTTCATCGCGTATGTGTGTAGCGTCCGTGAAGGCACACTGATATGTGAGCACACGGATGCGATTGTGGGAGATAATGTGTCAGCCAAGGAGCGACAATCGCGTGCTATCCTTGTTCCTCTAGTGTATCGCTTTACGGCCGAAATACGGCCTGAACCTGAAAATGCTTTCTGGCCTCTCGTGGTAGAAAGCAGTAATGTAATATGACTAATGAGCGTCCATTCTTTGAGAACTTTATATTTGCGTATACAGGGTGGCCCCGAACGTTCCAGCCAGACTTTAAGATCTCATAGGAAAGAACCCCGCACTAATCATATGGAAAATCTGTCCCGGTCAAATCAATTGGTTTTTACATATGTTGTAGCTTATGACCTACTGAACAAAAGATGTAATGGGCACAAAGCTCAATAATGGACAGTTATCGAATTATAACCAGTCAAACATGAAAAATGCGGGTTGCCGAATGGTCAAATCTCTGAAGGTATTAATTTTTTAGCACATCCTTTCTACTTCAACTCGCGCTTGAACAATATTAATCTCTCTAGATTTATCAAGAAGTTCTCTTGCTAATCCTGCATTAGCTTCTTCCATTAAAACTAAAGGATGATATCTATTAATTATAGCACCTGCAATGTTATAAAACTCGCCCAAGTGATGAAGATGAGGCATTATAATTGTATGATCAAAAAACTTGAACATAGACTTGATATGTCCATTTCTAGTTTCAATTATCCACTTTGTTTTTGTCACCAATCGAGACTCATTAGCTTCTTCAGTGAATAATTGTTTCTGTTGAGGTCCAAGAAAAGCTGGCATTTTATACTCAATGCCTAATTCACGAAGTAATGGCTGAGCATCTCGATATCCACGATCTAATATAAAAATGTCACCATCATGAAACCATCCTCTCATATTGTCCGCATCACGTTGAAATTCATTATTTAATATTCGAGCATCATTGTTACGAGAATCAGAAAAGTAAGGACCCTGAATAGCCAGTATATACCCATCAGGAGCAACTATAAGAGAAGATTTTATCAGATGTAGACCTTTTTGCATTGAGTATGTTTGTCGTAAAACACGAAAGTTGCTACTTTTATGAGTATAAGAATAAGTCCCGTCAATATAAGCAATTACTTTCGGAATAGCTAGCTCAGAATTATATAATTCGTTTGCAAAAGGTGTTACATGTCTCATTATATACTCTTCTCGAGTTATAGCTTGAAAACCAATATTATCAGGGACAAATCTGTTTACTAAAGACTGCCGAACTTTGGAAATCGCTAAACTCACTGCTTGTCTAGAGGAATACTGAAACAGTACTTTAAGAAATTCGTCAGACAGTCCTTGTCGCAGCTTGCATAAAAAAATTAAAAGATCTTTTTTAGTAACGTTTCTGATACCACGTTCTTGGAATATAGGATCGCCTGCGATTGCGTTTGTGATTGTGATTTGCTACGCTCCAATCATACTTGCAATTGGTGCTTTCTGATTGGCTGAGGCAATCGCAATCGCAGCCGCGAGCCGCTAGTGTGATTCGGGCTTTACTTCCCAACCCTGATAATATGAAAGCATTTACAAAAAATATGAGATGGCTCAGTGCAAGTGTTCAGTCTATCACGCAGTAGACTCAAGTTCAATTCTACAGACATCTCAACAAAATTGTTTTATATTTTTTGTTATATAACCGTTATTACATTTTGTGTGAGAATTATATTTAGAATAATGATTAAAATTTTGAAAATATGTTGACCATTTTAATTGTACATGTGTATAAAAAATTTATTTTATGTATTTAATATATCTTCTAATAAACCAATAATAGCTAGAAGAGGAAAGCTATTATTAACTTAAATATATTACATATATTAATATTAACATATTTTCAAAATTTTTAAATTTTGTTCTCAGTATAATTCTCAAAACACAAAATATAATAACAAAACACAAAAAAATTTTGTTGAGATGTCTGTGAAATTGAACTTGAGTGTATTGCATGATAGACTGAACATTTTGCACTTTGTCATATCATATATTATTTATATACATATATGCTTTCATATACCAGTACTCATATATGTGCTTATGCGATATCGGTACAATTGAAGAAAGATAATATAATTGTCTATGAAACTGCGATTAAGACTGTTAAAAGATAATGTAATGTCAAACAAGGATTGACAATCATGCTATATTAAAGTTTCAGAAATAAAACGTAATTTTGGTAAATATAGCGAAAAGGGGACCCAGTCCCAATGATCTTGACCTTGATATATGTTGTCAAGGACATAATTCTGAGTAACTTTTTCTTCTAATTTAATCGTCGCTCGTTGCTTATTAAAAAGTTATTAATAAAAAAAGTTTGGAATATACCAAAGTACATGCACGGACAAGAAGCACGCGCGCGCGCACACGCACGCACACACACACATACACCGGGGCTGCAAGGGGGGCCTTCGGCTCCGCTCCCGCACCCAACCCGCCGGTAG